TTATCTACTCATTGATAAATTCCACTTCCCTACTATGGCTGACCTCATATTCTAATCCTTTAAATTTCTAGCCAAAGTTAATAACAAGCAACCCCTGGCTGAACAACAAGATAAAAAAGAATGTGAATATGGGGCAATAATACCCTTCCATCAATGAAAAAGACTGTTTTCAACGCTTTTGAGGTGAGCCTGTCCTGATGTTAGAATCACCCCTTCTACTAGCAAATATCAAACTCCACCTCACAGTCCCTTAGCTGTGCCTTCAGTTTGTGGTTTTCTGGTGATATGCAAATCCCTACCCACTAAATCCTCTACATATAGGGATCTTGGCTCTTTACATGGGCTTTGGGCTAGGGGTGTGGCTCCTCTCACAGTCTGAGGTTCTGGATACTGTGTAATTCCCAGTGTTAGTTGAGAAGGGGTAGAGGTAGAGGTAATGGAAGGGTTGTCTCCCATACTGCACCAGTCCCAGAGAAGCAGAGCCCTGGATGATGGCCCAGGAACATACATGCCATTACTGCCTGGGGCTTTGGCACCAATGATACTTTAGTCCCCATTCAGTACATTTCACTTCTACTTGGAAGCACTGATCGTAATCATAATCCATTATTATCTGTTAAAATCACTCATGCAAGGTCTGTTTCTACACTAGAGGATAGGAACCATGCCTGCTGGCTCACCACAAAACCCTTCCTAGTTCCTTTCAAGGTACTGAGCAGACTACAATATTTTTTTCCAAAACACCTTGCAGTAAATACAACACTTATACGTTTACTATATCATCTGGTCCTCTAACAAACTGGGTGGTTGAGGCCTTGGTGTACTGGAGCTGGCTTGTATTAGCTTGCTAGAGCCAGGTTTTAAACACTCTGGACTTTTTTGCAAGCCAGTTGTTAAACCATTGGTAACCTGATATTGGACATGGTGGGGATATTTATACTTTGGAGATCAACAAAGACTGCAAATAAGGGCTTTTCTTTTACTACAAAGAACAGGTTTATCATGAAACCATTGACAGTAGAAATGTTAAAAAAAACATGTTCTGTGAATGGGTAGATGGGATAACTTGAAATATAGTGCTTTGGAGCTTCAGGAAGATCAACTGAGACTCTTAAGGTCTCTGACTCTTGTTGCAGTGAGATGCTGGCTTCAAATGCATTTACTCATTTCAGTGGGCATTTTTGGAGTGCCAGGAACTTCTGCAATGGCAAAATGTAATGGGGAAGTTAGTAGTTAAGACCAAGGAGCTCCTCATCAGAGATCTTCCTAGTCCAGGGCTGGTGGCTGTCCCAGAGAGCAGGCCCTGCTCAGGGCCCAGAAACATGACTAGATCAGGACCTGATGATAAACCATCATGTAGGGTCTGAGAAGAGTCCTGCTGTCACAGACCCAGGCATCATGTATGTGCAGACGGCCCACTGTATTTACCCTCTGCCAAGGGCTCCCTCCACAGAACCTGCAATTCTTCTGCCCAAAGCAGCCTCACTCAGCTTCCCAAGGGAACAGAAGCCAAATCTAGACCTCGGCCCACTGCCAGGGCCCCCCTCTGACAGGGCTGGTTCCTGCTCCTTGCACACACTTAAAAGCCATTGGAATTATACTGTGAATAATGAACAATTAAAGGCTCCGATGGAAACCACAAAGACACCGCCCCTAAATGCACAGGTCCTGTTATGCGTTGAACTATGCATCCATCCCCCAATTCCTATGTTGAAATCCCAACCCCACCGTGCCTCAGAATGTGTCCTTATTTGGTAATAGGGTCCTTGTAGATGTAATTAGTTAATTTAGGATGAGGTCAACCTGGAGTAGGGTGGGCTCCTAATCTAACAGTACCCAGTGTCTCTATAAAATAGGGGAAACTTGGACATGAGATGCCCACAGGGAGAATATTATGTCAAGATGCAAAACAAGGAACAACGAAGATTGCTAGCAGCTAGGGGAAAGGCATGGATCAGATCCTCCCCTCACAGTCCTCAAAGGAGCCAACCCTGCTGACATCTTGACCTCAGACTTCCAGCCTCCAGAATGTGAGGCAAGAAATTTTGTTGTTAAGCCACTCAGCTGCTGGCACTTTGGTACAGCAGCCACAGAAAACTATTTTAGGTCCCTTGCTTTGCAACCCTCCAAACTGGGCAGCACTGCATTAGAGTTCAGGTGACTAACAGGAATGCTGCAGATAGACAAGGGTTAGAGCCCTATGCTGGAGCCAGGTGTGCAATCTAACAGAAGAGGCACTGGGCTTGGGGTCAGGTCAGAAAGACCTTGCCTGAGTGCTAGGGACTGTTACATTCTCCCTGGAAGCCCTTCTGTTCTGTGGGACTCAAGAGGTGACCACAGACACCATCAGGAGTCACCAGAGACAGGGACAAAAACATCAGTGGAGCAGTGGCTTGAGTTTGCACATGTGATCTGGCAGTCCCCAAAAAAAGGTGCCATGACGACAAACAGGTGTCAAGTGCTTGGAGTGAGCCGAGTGGCCAGTGCAATATGTCACTGGCACTTTAGAAACTGCCAATGCCTGTGGAATTCCCATTATCTTATTTTTCTCTATTAAAAGGAATAGTGTTTTTAGCAAACCCACAAAATGGGGAAATTTGATTCAGGAAAGAGATGGGCCGAATATTGATTCCTGGCCTTAGATCCTTGCTACAGAGTCCTCATGAAGAGTGCATGGAATTAGAGAGGGTCTCCCTTTAATCAACCCCAGATGCTCCAAGGCTAATGTGAGGCACAGAGTAGACACCAACCAAACACAGGTCTCCTTTCCTTTGTCCTTTCTCGGCTTTTTCTCACCAAGCATCCTCTTCTCTGAGGTGGTGCTGAGAGGGGTGACTCTCTGGGGCTCCGGGAGACTGGCATCTTCCACTGCCCAGTTCTCTGTCCTATTCCAGGTGCTCTGAGAGCCACGCCTCAGAGACCTGGAAAGTGAGGGTGTCTGGGAATCTACCTCTGACTCCTGACTCCTTCCTGCCCTACTAGGGCTCGGTCATCTGGGAATCCACATTCATTCACTGTTCCCATCCCTCCGCACACCCACATGTTGCACGTGCACACCCCCACTAAAGAAGACTGTATCCTACAAATCAAACGGGCGGAGAAGTCCTTATGCTTAGAAGAGGTACAAGTCTTCCTCTCTAGCTCTTTCAAGGCCACTGAAGTTCTACTGCAGGTCAGCGATACAGCTCTAGAGAAGTGTGGTGTGCTGGGTCTCTAGGACTATGAGGACAGTGGATCCTGAACTTGCCCCAGAAGTAGTTTTAATTATTCTCTTGCAAAGTCCCCATATGTATCTCTTGCCCATCCAACCCAATTCTCAGTTTAGAAAATAGGATCCAACAAAGTACCCTTTAGGGGGGCTTATGTCCCAGAGGGTATCCTTAGAATACCAACGCCCTCCCCCCATGGAGGGCACGTCAACCCCTCTCTTGTCTAGAAGTCAAGAGCTAGAGGGGAGCCATGGTGGGTGAAGGAGGTCTCCCTGTATGTTTCCTTCCTTCCCCGCTGCCCCTTTAAATGGGATGCAGCAGACACTTGGCTGTCCTGCTTGAGTCTGGAGCTCTAATGCTACCCAATTGATGATGCTCTTCCTCCTGGATTATCTGTTTTCCTCAGCGGGAAAGCCTGCTAAGGCCTGTGATTTGTGTCACTTTTGTTTGCAGGCCATCAATTCTCCTTGTCTCACAAAGAGTAGTTTATCTCTGTCTGTCCAGTAGCCTGAGTTCCTGAGAGAGAACAAGTTAGGGACACGCCGGCCTCTCATGACTTATGTGAAATCAGAGGGGCTTCTTATCACAGTGAGTCCTTGGTGCTTCTGTCTTCTCCTTCCTCTTGTATCATCTTCCCCTTTCAGCCTACATACTGAGATGCTTTTCTTCAAAGTTATGGAAGACAAGAGTGATACGTCTTGGGGTATATTTTGTGAAATAACCATAGATATTTTCCTCCTTTACTTCTATCTCCCCCACTCCCTCATCTCTATCTCTTCCCACACATATGTATGCATTTTCCTCTGTATGATTGTGCATACATGTATATATTCACCTAGTTATGTATGCACTTGGGTCACGGTCTTTGTCTATGGTTTATACCTATGATTATATGTCTATTTATAATTGTCATCTCTGGGGAAGCATCCTATGTAACTATATATACTGTCAATAAATGCAGGGAACAACAGAACTGTCCAATTTTCATGTGTTTATATGGAGAAAATAGCTGTTAAAAATATCCATTCTATAACAAAAAGATAAACCTGATTTCTAACCACTCAACCTTGTAATAGGTTAAATGATAACAAACCATTCATTGATTTTTTTTTAAAGAGTAATAAACAGAAACATGTACCAATTGAAATGGCCAGGCAATTCAATTATAATTAGGAAAACAAAAAAGTGATGAGCCTGAACAATGCTGCCTTAGTTTTGGGGATAAGTATTGAAAATGCCAACTACATAACAATGCAGTGTTTGTTTTCTCATTATTAAAGGCACCGACACTATCACCTCATTTGTGAAAGCCAAACCCAATTGAAAAAAAGCACAGAACTCAGAAAATAGGTCTAAGATACATGCTCAATAAATACCCACATAAGCACAAACCCAAATATAATGAAAATATATAGTAGAAGACTATGTGAGTGAATTTAAATTCATCACTCTAGTGATTAATGTACCAGTCCATTTGTCTGTCCATGGGTCTGTCAGTCCGTTTATCTGTCCATGAATGCATCCATCCATCTATCCACTGATTCAACAAGTATGTTTTGAGCTCTTACTATGTTTTACGCACTGTTATTAATATATGATATATTTATTTATTAATGTATACTACAGATATATATTAATACCTAGATGCAAATGACTCCAGTAAAAATAACAATTTTTCACTGAAAAGAAACAATTCTTTCCTTTATTTTTAGTAATTGTTGCTTAAACTTTGTGTGGCTAGAAGGAGAAGTACTTAAATGGCTGAAGACAGACAAGGACATGCCAACATACCTTTCGTAGCCAGGCGAACGCAGTTGATTTTGGTCTCCTGTGAACAACAAAAGTGAGGTTCCAATTAATTAGTTGTGGGCTTAGTTTGTTATACAAAGAAAAAATACGCTATGTATATGCATATATATGCATGCATATGTATTTGTAATTAGAATTTAAAAAGTTTCTTTTCCATTTCTTGCCCCATTGGAATCACTTTTTTTTTTCATTTTAAGATTTTAAGTAATCTTTACTCCCAGTGCAGGGCTTGAACCTATAACCCGCAGATCAATAATCACATGCTCTACCAACTGAGGCAGCCAGGCACCCCTGTATTCACCTTTTAATTCCATTTCTTCATTTCTTTTCAGGATACGTACATACTTTGTACCTTTCACCTCCCGGTTCCCATTACCTCATAAGCTTCTTCCCAGACAGAACCGCTTATAAACATCAAATCTTACAACTGCCCAGCACAGGACGACAACTTTAACAATGATACTAGATGGGTATACTGTGGCATGTGTTAGTAGATGGCACCAACAGTATCTTTGGGAAACTATGCTGATAAGTAAATAATGCATCTATCTGCACAGACTGAAACAGATATTTGACAAGGTCCCAGTCAATATGAACCTGTAAAATTAAACTGCAAGGTTCCTACTATCTAATCAGAAGTTGATCTTCCTGGCAACCAGCATCCTCCTTGGGTGGGGTCCAAGAGTCACCTTCATTAATATATCAAAAGACACCTTTATCACCATTGACACTTAGGAAATTCTTAAGGATTAGAAAGCTGAAGCCATGGATAAACACCAAATACATATGAGAAATATATTTTGGTCATCTGAAAGACTAAAAATATATTTCTTATATGAGATCACAATATTGCATCAGGGTTATGAAGAAATACAAAACCCATGAATTGCAGAGGCGAGAAAGAGTAAAGGTGTTATTTCCCACTCAAACCAACATGTCCAATGTAGGTGCGTGAATGGGTCTGAGGTGGGGTAGTAGTGGTGGTTGGGGGATACTATAACCACTGTAGTCACTCAGAGACCAAGGCTGGTACCTCCATTTTAACACAAGGCTTCACTGTTCACTGAGGCAGGAGAAGAGAATGCTGGAGCTGGGCAGTGGCAATTAAATGCTTTGTATCAGAAACTACACTTACTTGACTCGAGTTTCATTGATTAGAAGCAGTCCTATGGCAATGCCTAACTTAAGTGAGGGAAGACACGGTAAATGTCTACAGCAGAGTCTATTTTCTGTAAGTATACCTCTGAATGCTAGAAACTGTCACTTTGATTAAACAAACTCAAGTACGACACTCCCCCAGTTGGTCTTGATTCTGTTCCTTAGACCATAGAAAGTCTGCCCTTGCTTGTGTAGGAGAGATGTTTGGATACTGAAAGATGGTTCTCACGTCCTTTAACATTCTACTTCTTCAACAATTCCAACGATAAGAGTTCAAGTCCTTTGAACCAATATTGATACTTATCCTAGGACATCCTCCAGTTTGTCCCTCTTAATGAGAAAGGACTAGAATATGAAGCAGCAGTCTACATGTGGTCTTGTCAATATATGATTACCTTGATTATCACCATTTTCTATTTTTCTTAGTGATACTGGGCTTCTGTTCACATAGTCAACATCCCAGTTTTTCATTCATCGTGATGAATGTGCCATTAACCTTCCCTCTAGCAAAAAAAAAAAAAATCTGCCTGCTTCTACATACACAAATGTGGTTGAATTTCTGGACTTCAAGTACAAAGTCATATACTGACTTCTGCTATTGACTTCCATCTTCTTTGTTCTGATTACTATTGCTTGTCCTTATATGCTTCACCACATGCAAATTTTTGAAAATATTATTTCTATATTTTTATACAGATCATAAATATAAGTGATAACCTGGAAAATGGCACTGATAGAGCTCTGTGACATGTACCAGAATCCATCTTCCAGGTTGGCATTTATTGCTCAGCAGAATTTGTGGTGGTTATCTAACTAGTCATCTTCCTCAACTGTTTACGCACTTGGATCCTACCGCTGTGTTTTTCCACAAAAATAGCTTGAGAATAGGGTCAAACTTACTTCAGATACTCATGCTCTGTCTACCACATTCCCGGAATCTATCATCCTAAGAACTCTCTCAAAGAAAGAAGGTTGGGTTGACATGACTTGTTCTTTGGAACAAGTGTTTCCTTTACTTTCCTTTAATGCTTAAAAGTGCTCTTTTTAAAAATAAACAATTGCTTTGTTAAAAAAGTTGAAAATGCAGAAATGACTCAAATATATGAAGTATTCATTTGAGGTGTTCATGTGATATTTGAAGAATGCTATATTTCAAGAAAAAAATATTTTTTACAAAAGGACATCCAGAAGACAGGAAGAAGGAAAAATTACGAATAAAAAATATGAAAATAAAGTAGAACTCTCTAAATGTGATGCCAAAGAAGTGTCAGTAACAAATGAGCTAAGACCTGAAAATGATAATAAAAGTGAGCCAACTAACTTTTTGTTTTCATGTTTGGAGAAAGAGCAGATGTTCAACTCTTGTTGGCTTCCATTTCTTCTCTCTGGTTTAAAGCGTCAGTGAAGTGAAGCCTGAGATGGTTACAGAAAGCTCGAGTTCCTGAGGACTGAAAGCAGTCTGCACATGGGTGTACACCACCATGATGACCATCACCCAGAAACTGTGCAGGGTGGGTGCCATACCAAGAGATGAGGAATGGTCAGAAGGATCTCTTTATATTAATATGATGAAAAAAGATTTTACAAGTGCTATATTAGGAAACTTGCCAATTGTGCAAGATTATTGCATACAACAATGGGCAAGAGTCTGATGAGGTTTCACGGCTGGGGGTAATCCGTAAATAGGGATCTAGACTTCAAAGAGAGTCAATATAATCTTTTCACATGTAAGAATATATTCTCAGGGAATAACCTGAAATACAAAAGGTTTATATTCTAAGATGTTCGTTCCAGTGTTCTTAATAAAAGTGAAAGTGAAGTGCCACATACCAGTCTAACCCTACAGGCATGGTAAAGAAGGCTGTGGTCTATCCACACAGTGGAATATTATGAAGCTAACCAAAAATGATTGTGAGTGCCACGTAATATGGAATAGTACATGTAAGAAAATATTAAATGAATAAAGCGAAGTATGATCTTTACTACAACTAACATGCAAAGATAAGTCTTTAAAAATAATGTGTGAAGGAAGTATACTAAATCTTTAGAAGCATTACTTCATTCATTTGAAGTACAACATACATACAGACAAGTATACTAACCTAAACTATAATTTTCTAAGTTTTCTTTCTTTAAGTTTTTACTTGGGGGGGGGGGAGAGCGAGAGAGCACGCACGGAGGAGAGAGAGAGGCAGAGGGAGACAGAGAATCATTTTTTTTAAAGTTTTATTTATTTTGAGAGATAGAGAGAGAGAGAGAGAGAGAGAGAGAGAGTGTGTGTGTGTGTGTGTGTGTGTGTGTGTGTGTGTGTGTGACCACATACCTTTGCCTGTTAGCAGGGGAGGGGCAGAGAGAGGGAGAGAGAGAATCCCAAGCAGGCTCCTTGCTGTCAGGGTGGAGCCCAGCAAGGCTGAAACTCATAAAGTATGGGATCATGACCTGAGCCAAAACCAAGAATCAGATGCTTAATTGACTGAGCCACCCAGGCATCCCAAGTATGCCAAGTTTTTTGCAAAGTGAACACGTACCTATGGCCAGTACCCCAGATGAAAACACCAAATATTACCAGCACATCATGCTCCCCCTGCGTCACTTCATCCCTGAAGTACTGAACCCTAACCTGTCTTTGGTGGGAATGTTCTCTTTAAAATGTGTCATATTAAAAGGAATCTGGGTAGCTTCAATATTTTGCTGCTTTCTTTCCTTCATTGGGTCATTTGTGACAACTTTCTGAGAATTGTCCTCCCTTCCACAGTTGCATGTGTGAAAGTGAGCCATTTCCGACACCACCTCCTCCACCCCGCATCTATTAAAAGCTGTTTTCTATAATCTGGAGTGCATGTCTCATTATATTTGACTCTCGCTGGCTCTCACAAACATGATGTTGACATGGCTGCTTTCTCCCAAGTTCCTGACACCTTTAATTCCGTAACCAATTTGTCTTTGTTGGTTAGAATTAGATACAGAATAACAAAGTCCTAAGTCACTCTCTTGCCCTTTTCGTGATTTAACTGTTAGCAAGCAAGTCGGGAACATGCTAGACATTCTGTATCCCAACATATGGAAAGTCTGGTCAGTGTGCACATACCCAAAGTCCCCAGTCCATTCAATAAACAGGAAATGAGTACTTTCTTTGTGCCAAGATTATATAAAGCTTTGGGAAAAGGAAAAACATTTGGTATATTTTCTGTTCTATCTCCATTAATTATATCCTACTTCTAGATGTGTCATATATTCTGGGACAGTACAATATAATTTCCTTTCCCTATCATTTTAACTTCATTCACATCCTACTCCCCAATCCAGACTTGCAAATTTGGACACAGGTATATATCATCTTGGAGAAGAATTTAATATCTTAACTGTTGTGATTCTGTTGAGAACTGCTTCTACTTAAGCTCTGCTAGTGCTGAGCAATATAAAGCAAGTCACTGCTGCTCTCTATGGCTCAATTTCCCCATCAATCAAATAACAGAGAAAGGGTTGGAAAAAGCCATTTGAGTAGAGTGGGAAGCTTGCTTCAAGTTCTCAAAATGCTGAGTCTGGTTTCAGCTACTGGCTGTACTCCTGTTCTTTCAGTACTCTGTTTTTTTGACACTACTCCATATCATCATAGCACAACCCACAACACACAGCTTACTAAAAAAACCCCAAAACCAACAAAACAAACAAAAAAACCCCAAAAAGCTATCACCTACCTTATTTCTCGGAATGCCTCATGGTCTACACCTACTTACCTACACATAGCCTCCATTTCAAGATTAGATCAAGTTTGACTCATCTATATATCCATCCTTCAGCCGTCTGCTGAAATTATAGGATGTTTCTCTAATTCAGAGACTTATAGCATAGTGTCCAAGC